GAAGAAACTTCTTTACTTGGGGTCCTTTTTCTAGACTTTCTTGATGATTGATCAGAAACCCTGGCCTTTATGTTCTTATATTCCCAGGACCCAACAAGGACATGAATTTGGCAGGTCAAGAGTCATCAACAACACAAGTCAGGCTCTATCAACAAAAGTAACTGAGACACAGATCTGTAAGGAGCTCTGGAAAGCTGTAGTCATGGTTACATGGTCATCCAAGGGATAGAAACTGAGGTGAGTTTCAATTAAATGTGCCTGTAGGAACTATGTGAAAGAAAACAGTCAGAATTGGTTCTCCAGAGTCTGGCCATCTCACTGTGCTTAGAGACATGTGAAGGAAGAACCCCCACTTCTTCAACTGAAGCAAATATAGTCATTTCCTTGGTGATTCACCAAGGGGGTTCCCTCTTTAGAACGGTCCCATTGCTGGAACTCTGTCTTTGAGATATCAGGGTCTCCTGTATGTTTTATCTCCAAGACACAGGAACTGTCTCTGTTTACTGGAATTGTGGATACCCACCCTTTTGGTCCAGATTAACAGAGATATGTTGAAAACTCTGATCAGCAGGAAGTATGGTGTGCTGGTTGGCTGCATTACAGAATGGAGGGCAGTGGGGACATCTCCCTTTCAAAACTGGTGTTTTGAGATTAGTAAAAGAAAAGAAGATGAGTTACATGTGATTTTGTGGGGCAGAACATTTTTGGAATGCTTTGAAAGGTCTTTTGAAAAGCTTGTTTCCTGCATCTCCCCCGACCAAGCACAGACCTGCATGTAGTCCATCTGTACCATGCTTAGAGGAAGTGAGACTTGAAGTCTTGCATGACCTTGAGCTCACTGAAAGAAGTGTGGAATTGGGATTTTCAGCACAGACTGATCCACAGGCTCCATGTCCTAGAGTTTTGTTGATAGCTCCTACTCTAACCAGAGTCCCATACTCAGGTACATAAAAAACTAATATTGTGACTGATTTACCTCTTCATATAAAAATGGTTCTATAGTACTTCCTGGTAGGCACAAAGAAAACTTTTCAACATTCAAGACTCCACAACCAGTACTGACTTGTTCAGGCTAGAATTGAGAAGAAACAAGTACAACTATAGTTGCTCCCCAGAAACACCCCCAAAATGGTTAATGTTAAAAGTAGAAGTTGGGGAAGAAACTGTCTATATTTGAATTACATCAGATGAGGAAATCATACTTTTCTTGTCACTGAATCTTTAAATGGCTTTTTTTTATCATTTGTTTTTCACTTTCTAACATACATGATCTTTTGCTTAATTTTCTTTGTACTTATTTTCTTATTTTTCATTTGTATTTGCATTATTTTTCTTTTTTCATTTTTTCTTGTTTTTTCTGTGTATTTTAGTATTAATTTTAGAATCACTCACAACTGAATTTTGGATATTGTTTATTATTACCACTTCTTCATTGGTTACCTGAGTTGTAGAGATCATTTTTAAAAGTTTTTGCTTTGGTCTTAAGTCAACATGTGCTTAGCTTCTAACTTTTACATATTACTGGTGGCTATTCTTTCCTCTTAAATTACTTTGGATTAGTGGTCCCAGCACTTTTGTCAATGAGTTGGGGCTTTGAAAATAGAACATACACTCAGTTTGGGGAATATCTGAAGAGAAATCTACTGAAGAATAAATGGCCCACATCTAAGAGAATAGAAATCTATTTGAATATCTGCACAAACCTCTGTATATTAAAACAAGAAAATGGGTAATGTGTTATTGCCTTGCACTCTCAAAGTGTTTAAATCCCTAATAACTTACTACACATACATTGATGTGTAGGATAGCAAAGAATTCAAACAATTTATTATGAAAATAATTTCAGAAACTAAAGGACTAAAACATGAATTAATGAAGGAAATCCAGGTTTTGAAAGAATATCCTCACAATGAAATAAGAGTTTGTGGGGAAAAAAGGTCAGAAAATTTGGAAATAATAAGTTTATTAAATCAAATAAAAGTCAAAATGAGAAGTACTGAAAATACACTACATCAGGTAGATGGAAGAATGTTAAGTGTTCAAGACAAGGTGGATGACGTAGAACTTTCCTAATGTAATAAAAATGAGAGACTGTAAAAAGAGAAAAAGTGTAACATTAGATTGGATAGAGAAAAATGATGGGAGGGGAGGGGAGGGAAAGGGGGGATATGAAGGGCAGCAGAATAGAATAGACATTATTATTGCTGTATGTATATAGGTGACTCTATGACCAGTGTGATTCTGCAATCTCTACAATCAGAAAAATGAGAAATTATACCCCAATTGATTCAAATGTTTGAATTACCAAGATCATTGTAATGTCATATGTATCTAATAAAATGCAATAATAAAAATAAATAAATATCATGTATTGTGTCTGAGAAAAAAAGAAAAAAAAAAGAATATCCAAGTATTCTAGGGCAACTTTAAAAGACCAATTGAGATTAAGGTCTTGAAGGAAGGAATGTATAGACAGACTAATGGCATAGAAACTTATTCAGTGAACTCGTACCAGAAAAAAAAAAAAAAAAGTTGTGGAAATAAGAACATCAGAAAGCATTTAGAAGGCCAAATAGACATGGCCAAAAAGAAACTGTCTACATTATATTTTGGTTAAAATGCCAAAATTCCGAGCAAAGAAAGATTTTTACAAATTCAAGAGAGAAGCACCAAGTTATTGGTAAATGGTAATGCATCTGGATAACTCTAAGGGCCAGCAGGACATGCAATAATATATGTCAAGCACTAAAATAGAAATATTACAGTGGCACCCCCTCCTCCACAAATGCATCTTCATTAAGCTTCCCCAGAGACCTTCACCACAACTGTTCTTGTTTACAATGTATTAGCTAAGATCTCTACAAAATGACTCAAATGTTGTTATACACCCTATTTTCTGTTGATCTGCTCTGTCTTGAAAAAACTGAATTTATCCCTGGACTTAGTGAATGTACTCTGCTTTTGTGGTATAATCTGTAAAACCCCTGACAGTTCTAGGAAATGAGACAATAGGTAACTTCTGAGAACTCACAGAAAAAAAAAATAACTTTCACGTAGACCCCTGCAAAATGTATACTTCCAGGCTCCCATTTCCACACCACCGGGTATAAAGCTCAACAAATGTCTAGACTCAGCATTCATAGAGAGAATTTGTTTCAGGTGAAAGCCCCCTCTGGACAAGCTGCAGACAATAAACCTGCATTTTGCTAATTCCTCTGGTGTCCAGTCTTATCTGTCTTACTTCAGTACTGCCAGCCTACTTTGTTATCTGCATCAAAGTTATTCTTCAGAAATAAACAGCTTTCAAGACAAGAATAAACTAAAATAAACTATGACAACTAACCTGCCAGTGTAGAAGATTCACTATGGAATTCTACATACACAAGAAGAAGATTAAAATAAATCATGGGAGAATATAAAAGAATAAATGTAACTAGAAGAGTGGATAAGCAAATAGGAATAAAGAGTGAACCCTATAATATAAAGAAACACACCTCATTAACATTGGATTCACTTCGAGTTAATTATCAACTCAAAAGACATAGATTAAAATACTCAATTAACAAAAAAGACCCAAATGTATGTTGTCTACAAGAAACACAGCCTGACATGCAACGATGTTCACAGAATAAAACTGAAAGAATAGAGAGATATTCCATGTAAATGGAAGCCAAAAAAAGTAGTATCTATTTGCAAATTTGATAAAGGTGACTTTAAACAACAATTACTCAAAGTTAGCAAAGAAGGTCACAACCTATAGCTAAAGGGAAAAATCCAACAACAAGAAAAATGGCTGTAAATATTTACATGTGAGTGGTAGTGCAACCAATTTTATAAAATAATCACTATTCAGCCTAAAGGGACAGAAGGACCCAATAAAAACAGAAGTGTGGGTGACATTAATACTAATCACCAGTGACTGGTTAAGTGGACAAAATATCAATAACTTTCCTATATATCACTTTTACTTTTTATCATGACAACGTAATAGTTGTCTATGCACTATTTCATCTGACAAGAACAGAACTCATAATTTTTTAGCAATACAAAAAAACTTTCTTTATAATAGATCATATATTAGGATACAAAGCATGTCTTACTAAATACAAAAACAAAATAATTCCATTTATCCCTTATCATATCACAATGGATTGCTATTAGAAAACAACACATGCAGCCTTTTTAACAAGTGAGTCTGGGAAAAAAATACCCAAACACATGAAGAGGAAAATCAACTCAAGTGTGGATCAAAGATTTAGGAATTACACAGAAACTCTACAGCTGCTAGATAAAATTGTAAGCTGAACTTTTCAACATATTATCACAATCATCAATTGTCCTAACAAAACTCCTAAAGCATAAGACATAAAACCAAGAATCAATAAGTAGGATGGCATAAAATTAAAAACTTCTGAATACTAAAGGAAACAAGAGCATGAAGACAGAGGCTGCAGAAACAGAGATCTTTGCCACCTGATCCACAAATTCGGGTTAATATTAGAATATATAAAGAACTCAAAAAACATATCACAAACAATTAATAACTCACAGAATAAATTGAAAAACATTAAAGGGATCTTTCTAAAAAGAATTACAATTGAACAATAAATATACTTTAAAAAGTTCAACATCTCCAGCAGTTTGGAAATACAAATAAAAACTACATTGATATTTTATCTCACTCTCTTCAGAATGGCAATTATCAAAAACACAAAGAATAGTAAATGTTGATGAGGATGCAGAAGAAAGGTACACCCAACTCTTCCATTGCTTGGTATAGATTCAAAATATTTAAAATCAGCATATTTTAGGGATGTAGCCACATCAAAGTTTATGGCAGCACAATTCAAAATAGAAAGGCTATCAAATGAAGCCTAGTTGCCAATCAACAGATTAATGTATAAAGAAAATGTGGCGCATATATATATATATATATATATATATATATATATATATATATATATATATATATATATATATATAAATAAAATGAAGCTCTACTCAGTAAGTCATCAATTGAAAGAAATAATGGCATTTGTTAGTAAATGAATGGAACTGGAAAATGTCCCACTAAGTGAAAGTAAATATCCTGCTCAGACTCAAAAAGTCAAAGGCTGAATATTTTCCCTTATATTAAGAAGGTAGATAAAAATCAAGGGAAAATGGGGGGTTCCCTAAAAGAAGAGAGGTCAGTGGAGTCGAGGAAGGAGATTAGGAGGGATGGAGGGACTGCTAGAGGAAGTGTGGTGAAATGAATCTGAACAAATTTTCCTTTGTACACTTAGGAACATATCACACTGAATTTGACCTTTATGTATATCAATGATGCACTAATTAAAACAACTACAAATAAATACAAGAAAGAACAGTGGAGCAGAAGAGAGATAACAGAGGTAGGGAAGGGAGAGTACTGGGGATCAAATTGGAAAATTGTATACCATGCTTGCATGATTATTTAAAAATGAACCTCAATATTATATGTGAAATGATGATCTAATTAATAAAAAGAAGCAAACAGTGAGTAAAACTATAGAAATTGCATGGACACTTGAAGAATGAATAATACAGTTGGGTCACTCATGAAATTAGTGGAGGGAAGTTTTAAATAAACCTGAGAATGAATAATACAGTTGGGTCACTCATGAAATTAGTGGAGGGAAGTTTTAAATAAACCTGAGAACCACATGAGAATCAAAACACAACATCTATACATTTATGGGTTAAAATAAAAGCAGATCTTTTCTGTTGTTTGTTTTTTTCTTTTATTGATATAATATATACATATATATGATAGTGGGTTCATTATAACTTATACAGAAATGCATATAACATATTTAGACAAATTTTACTGCCCAGTACATTTTCTAGCCCTTCAGATATCCCTCCACTAATCCACCAAAATCAGTTGTATGAGGGCAGTTTATACTAAGGGCTACCTCCATTTAAAAATCTAAGATATTTCAATTTAAAAACCTCATGATGCATCCCAAGTTCTAAGAAAAACTTCAGTAAATGAATTCTAAAACCAATACAAGAAAATAATTAACTAAAGTCAGAGCCAAAATTATAAAATAGATAATTTTTTTAGAAGACATAGTAATAATGAAACAAATAGTTCACTGTTAAAATGGTAAATAAAATTGATAAACCCTTGGCCAAGGGAACTAAAAGAAAAAAGAAGTTACAGATGAATAAACCTAGAAACAAAAAGTGAAATATTAAAACAGATACCACTGAAATACAGAAGATCTCTAGAGACTATTAGAAAACTTATATTTCAATGAATGGGAAAAATTTAGACTATTTTAAAGAATAAAATTGAAAGATAAATAAATCTAAGTGATATTAATGAAATATGTCATAAAATGTTGAATCAAATAGATAGAGAAAAACATAGTCAATAACAAGTAAGAAGGTTGAAGCAATAATAAAAAGCCTTATGGACCAGAGGTTCAGAGGTGAATACATGGCTAAATTTTATCAGATATTTAAAGAAGAACTGATATTAATCCCCCATTACATTTAAAAGCAAAGGAAAGATGCTTCCAAAGCAATTCTGCAAAGTATTACCCTGACTGGAAAAGTGAATATTGGACAGAACAAGGAAAAACCTAGATATCAATATCCTTGAGGAACATAGTATAAAAATTCTCATAAAATCTTTGCAAACCACATTCAACAACACATTACAAAATAATATACGTATCAGGCATAGTGGTATAGGTGTATACTCTCAGAAAAGCATCAGGTTGTTTGAGGAACACTGTAATTTCAAAGCCAGCCTGGGAAATTTAGTGAGATCTGTTATCAAAGTGAACAATAAAAGGTGCTGGGAATGTGGCTCCTTTGTACCATGCTCCTGGTTTGAGACTCTAGTCACATACAAAAAAAAAAAAAAATCGATAAAAGCTGATTTTGCTCCAGGATGATTCAATACATGCAAATCAATAAAACTGATACACCACATATAGAATCAAGAGCAAAATACATGATCTTTTAAGAAGCTGCAGGAAAATCCTTTGACAAATTCAATGGCCCTCATGACAAAGCCCTGAGAGATTAGAAATAGGAGCATTTTATTACAAGATAATAAAGACCAAGTATATCAAATCCAAAGCCAATAGTAAAATGAAGAACATTTTCTCTAAAATCAAGAAACACACAAAGATGTTCATTGCCACCAATCTCACTAATCACAGTACTTAAAATTTTAGAAAAAGAGAAAGAAATAAAAGGGATTCAAATAGGAAAGTTAAAATGTTAAATTATTTCTATATGCAAATGATGTAGTCCTATTCTCAGAAGAACATAAATAATATATTATGAAAATTCTACTTTGATGAATGAATTCATCAGAGTAACAGGATACAAAATAAACATATAAAAATAAACTGTTTGTCTATATACCATAGCAAACCTAGAGAGAATAAAGCAAGAGTAATAGCTCATTCAAATAACTTTAAAAATAGCTAGGAATAACCCTAAACAAGAAAGTGAATGACCTCTTCAAGAAAAATTACACATTGATGAAAAAGGAAAATAAGAAAACAATAGGAAGTTAAAAGATCTGTTATGTTCATAGAGAAGTAGAATTAATATTGTGAAAATGGGCATAGTACCATAAATGAATTATAGATTCCATGTATTCCCATTCAAATTCAAATGGTATTGTTCTCAGTAATGGGGGGAAAATAACTACTTATAAATTTGTATGGAAGAAAAACAAACAAACAAACAATACTTAGACAAAGTGATACTGATCATAAGATACACAATGGATAAACCACAATGCCAATTTCAAAATATAAAACAGAGCCATAGTAATAAAACCATGGTCCTGGTGTAAAGAAAGACCCATAGACCAATGGATAGAAGAGAAGTGAGAGAGCAAACCCACACAGGTACAGTCATGTGATACTAGGCAAAGACACCAAAAACATATTTTGGAGAAAATATGACATTTTAGAAATAGTGTTGGAAAAACTAGATATCCATATGTAAAAGAAGAAACCTAGATGCCTATTTTCTAACACTGTACAAGAGTTTATTCAGAAAGAACTAAAGACATATGTACCAGACTAGAAGGTTTACAAATGCTACAAGAAAATATATGGAAAACACTTCAGTATGTAGGCAATAACTTCCTAAATAGAGCCCCCTACAGCTCAGAAAATAAGAGCAACAATGGATAAGAGAGGGTGCATCAAACTGAAAAATTCCTGCATAGTAAGTGAAACACAAAACAGTAAGAAGTGGTAGCCTCCAGAAATGGAGAAAAGCTTTGCCAGCTACTCTTCTGACAGAGGATTAATATCCTAAAAATATTAATGCAAATATCTTAATACCAGAAAAACAAAAACCTTTTCAATAAATGAGCAAATGCACAGCTAGTTCTCAAAATAAGAGATATAAATGGCCAACACTTCAGGGAAAAAAAAAAAAAAAAAAACAACAACAACAAAAAAAAACCAATAACATCTTTATCAATCGGGAATATGTAAATCAAAACAACATCAAGCTCCCATTTCCACCATTTAAAAAACCAATCATCAAGAATGCAAATAATACTGGGAAGATGAGGAGAAAAATCTCATATATGTGAATGGCAGGAACATAAATTACTATATCCCTATGGAAATTCATATGAAGGCTACTCAAAAACTGAACATAGAACTACTTTATTATTCAAATATACTACTCAGTACTTACCAGAAAATATTAAAGTCAGCTTATTTTAGAGATATACATATACCTATCTTTGCCATGACACTATTACTAATAGGCAAGTTATAGAATCAGGCTAGATGCTAGTTAATAAAAGAATGGATAAAGAAAATGTGGTATATATACACAAGGAAGATTTCTATGCATAGAGAACAACAAAACTAAGTTAATTTTAGGAAAATGGATAAAACAGGGAAGCATAATGTTAAATAATATAAGCCAGACTCAGGAAACAAGTATCATATATTTCTCTCACATGGAAAACTAGAGGTGGAAATGTTCAACATAAAAATAGATGAATAATAAATTTCATCCATTAGCATACATAAAATTGGGAGTATGGAGGAAGGAATGTTACAGATAGCATTAGGGGAGTATATTTGATCTATATGTATGTAAAAATATGCCACTGTGAAAATTCTGTATAATTAATGTGTATCAATTTTTAAAAACTGATCATCTTTTTTTAATTTTTAGAAGTTCATTTATTTTTCATTTATCATGTTCACTACCACTATTACTCGTTTATTTGGATTTGTATTTTTTAATAGCAGTACTATTTATATATGCATATATATTTATTTTATTAATTTCTTTTTAGTTATATGTGACAATAGAGAACATTTTGATATAATCCAACAAGCACTGACCATCAACATATTAAGTCTATATTAATTGTTACTAAATATAAATTACTTGAAGCTTTAATAGGAACAGAAGAAATGAATGATTTCTTAAGCATCTAAAATATGCCACATTCATTTGCTTATTTGTCTATTCATTATAATAACAAATGATTGTGACTGTAATCCCACACCCTGCCTCCTAGTCATTCAAGGATGTCAAGACTAAGTAATAGACAAATATAACACATTATTCTATTGTCCAGCATGTACTTCCCCTAACATTCCTATGTTTGGCCTAATATTGAGTTGCTGCTCTTTTTAATTTCAATATTTCTTATTTTAAGTATCAGCCATCTTGACTCTCTTATTCAATCTGGACACTTGGCTTTCCCTTCATAAATGAATTCTTTGTATGCATCCACTTTTATCAGCTTCATATTCATAAAGCTGTTCTTTTTCCTTCTTTTCTATTTCTTTCCTTCCATAAGGGCACACTGAAGAACTGTTTATTCCCACCACTTTCTGGCAATGTTAATTCTATACATATACCTCACCTGTTGCTCTCCTTGTTTTCTACTATAACCCTGTAGCCTTATTTCTTTCTAGCATGTTTTTCTTCCTGGAAGATGATATGTTAAAAAAATGGAAAGCTTTTTTTAACACATTACCTTTGAGTCAGGTGATGGAATTGAAGGACAATCATTCTTTATTTTGATTGCCTGCACAAGTGTGGTTTCAAGTACTTCCTTCTTTCGACTCGCAGGTTTACTGTTGTCAGGTACATTTCCACTCCTTTGGTTCCCAGTGTCATATTTTACTTCTGACAATAAAAAACAAAATAAAGAGTATATAAAAATTCTGTAATTTAAAGTCAATATGCAGCACAATTTCAGGCAATCTTCACATAGCTTACCATCCTTCATGGATTGTCTGGAAGCTTCAATAAATTCTCCTCCTTTTTCTGGGATGTTCTAGGAAGAAAAAAAAAAATTAAGGGATAATAAGAACCAAAGATGACAAAATAATTATTGTTCTCCACTACTGTAGGATACAACAGAATAAGCATTCTGATGTATACTTATTCCAAACTGAAGGCACCAGGGAAATTCCACAATTCTATAAAAATTAATTTAGGCATGAGTATTGTAAGTCATGTAAGAATGATTTAAAAACCACAGTAATGAAAACTGATACAAAAAATCCTTGAATAAATATTATATTTCTTCTATAGTTAGAAAGCTGTTTCTAATGCAATTTGTCTTTCACTATGTATTTCAGAGCCCATTGTTACTTCCAGCCCCCACGATCCCCAAGTACTTGAGAGAACAGTGATACAAAAAGCATTTAAAAAAAATCAACATAATTCTTAAAATGGATTCTTAGCAAATATTCATATAAAATATAAGAAAAAATATAGCTAAATTTTCAGCAGTAACATCTTAAAACACAAAATTCAGAGCAAGAACATGAGGTTTTTTACAAAAGATCACTTTACCTTAATATGAGCTTCATAGCTGCCCCCAAACATTGCAAACAAGGAATCACCTGAGTGTGATTTTTTGATAGATCTTTAAAGCAAAAATGTATAACAAAAATGGTGAATAGTTTTCTTTTTAAAATAAACTCTGTTTAATTTAAGGTATAACTTATTAAATGGTGTTTCTTGATTGATATAATTAAAATATGACCTCCAATTAAAAAATAGCTCATATTCACCTCTTTGTGACTCTACTGCTGTGAATCTATAAAATATTCAATATAGATATTAAGGCACTCTTAGTTCCAATTCAGAGCAATAGCCAATACATGAGCAGAAACAGATAATAATTTGTTCTTGCAAATTGCCTGTCTTGAAGGCTGAATTTAAAACCCAAGTAATGGCTGATATTTTTTTTTCACCTGAACTGAAACAAACCTCTGGTAACACAAGACAAGATAACAAGAGGCACAGTTCTCTCTCACGGATATCCAGGAGTCAAATACTAAGCAATGTTGTTCTTCAGGATGGAAATCCCCAATAATAATACACTATTTATTCCCTCTACCCACAAATAATGCACAGGGTTGTCTGGAACTTTAAACATTTTTGAAAGTTAAAAAGTAAATATATATATATATGTTATTTAGAATACCTTTGTCAAAAACATTGAAATAAATTATAAAATTGATTTTTCCTGTATAGGTCTCACTTTATTCAGGTCCTCATAAACTAGCAAGCCCTTTAAAACCTTTACAGGAACTCAGGCACTCAGGGGGAAAGACTTCCAGAAAAGCAGAGTCTTGGTATTTGTACCTCTGTTTCCCTAGCTATTATGTAAATATCCTCCTTCCTCTGGGAATCCATTTCCCAGTCACTCATCTGCAAAACTCAGTGGCAGTCTCTAAACTTGAAATCTACATCCCTTGAATATTCAGATTCCTGACACAGTTTAAACTAAATGGAGTCTCAATCATTGGCCTGTCTGAAGACTTTTCCAAATACTCAACTGAAACTTTTTAATAACTTTCCCTGTCAATAACTCCTTTGCCCAGCAGTACATGTATATTTTAAGGACATCAGCGATTTGGAAAGAAAGTGAAGGTGAATGAAAACCTGTTTTGTGCCACAGATCCATGTATTCTAACAATTTCCACAGTCTGTTTCACTAGTCTCTAATCCATTCTTGCATCACAGATATGAAAACAGGCAAAATACAAGCTATTAAGACTTCCTCTAAATTTTGTATTAATATGCCTTTATAGAGAGCTTTTAATATTCTGTGTCCTTCATTCCTGTTTTGTGCTCATCAAACTAATCATAAACCCTAAGATTTTGGTTTCTTTTTAAAAATGCTTATTCCTACCCAACACAGTGTTGTTACTCTTGGTGAATACTTTTATACCCCTTTCCTTTACTAGTTAAATTTTGATCCTCTACCACTGTGTTCACTTAAAAATTCTAGTCTTATCCTTTTTAGTTGGGTTCCTATAGTCAATCTTCAATCTATTATTTAAAAGAAATCACCTTAAAAATGATAAGCAGAAAATGTACTGAGCTCAGAATTAAGAAACTGGAGTTTAAATCTCATTGTTGTCATTGTTTGTACTCAGAAAACTCCCTTTAATATATTTAAGTTTAAGGTACATCCTCAAAACTATCATTTGGCTGGCATGTAGAACACATGCTGAAAGACTAGAAGGTTTCTAAAATTCCTTAAAATTCTGAAATTTCTAAACTTTTGATCTGTCAAAAGAAAAAAAATATTCAATTGACAAAATAAAACAGAAACACAAAGAGAACAAAACAGAAAATACAAATAGAAATTAAATAAAAAGTTATAGTCATAAAAAAAGGAAAAAAAAAGTATAAAAGTAAAAGTCTTCATAAAATTGTTAGGGGTAGTAATTGAAGAGAAACTAACTGGAAAATCAGGAAGTAGAGAAATTAGAATGTCCTCTATGGATTAATATAAGTAACACAACATTGTCTAAAAAGTGTTATTCTTAACTTTCAGTAAAATAATTTCTCTACAGCACTTGCCTGACCTTCTTGTTTATTAGAAAACATGAGGCCCTAGCTCTGTGAGATTTTCCATAAAAGCTTTGGATATATTAAAAAAAAAAACTGATTACTAGTTTGAACTGTCAATATCAGGACAAAATCTTGGACTATAACCTGGCTTATCAGGTAAAATATAAATCAGAATTAACACACAACTGCCTTTGACTTTCTAAATTGATGATATACAATTTGAAAATTAAAATGTGAATATATATGTTATTTAGAATACATTTGTCAGACACATTGAAATAAATTATAAAATTGATTTTTCCTGTAGAGGTCCCACTTGGTATCAACCTGTACAATGGTACAACACAATGGAGTTGTCAGCCAGGTAATACTACAGTCTAAACATAGGCCTGAAACTTATTAATTACACAAATATGGAACAAATAGTCAACCTCTATGAATGACAGCTCTTTATTAGTAATTAACAGATTATAACAGCACAGATACTTTCAAAGTGCTTATAAAACAACTCCAGGAAACAATTGTTAACTGAATGTTGTGTCTATCCCACACTAGAATATTCAACAAATACTTCTACCTTCACTCTCCACTTAGTTAATAGACTTTTTTTTATTTAAAATCTATAAATTCATACCTTCTTAATGAGTCATTTTTAGGACTTTCTTTCACTATTAAATAAAACAGTAAAATATATAATTAATCAAAAACAGAAATATAAAATATAAAATTTTACGACTCTGATGTTTTGTTATAAAATGTTCCTCCAGACCCAGACTCGGAGAAATTTTTAGAATTAATATTAATTGTATTTCTGACAGGTAAGTAATGAATGCATTAACAGAACCTATGTCTCCCACTTTGTACTTATCAAATGCAAGAAGAAACAACAGGAATTATAAAAGTTTGATACTTAAAAGTAAATCATTGGTCCCATAATCATAATCCTTAATAAAAGTTGCAAAAATGAAAGAAAACCTTATCATTGTCAAATAAAGTAGCATAAATATATAAGTGTCAAACAAGGGGAGACATGATGGTGAATTAGCAGGAAGTGGATTTTCTCACAGCTCCACCATATGGGACTCAGAGAGTGAGAAAACTGCTTCTCTGTGAGGTGGGAGATAAAAGCATGCCACTGAAACTCAATATTGGACAGAGACATTGAAAACTGGGGAATCTAGGGTATATCAGACAAAGATGAGAAACAGAGTTGGAGCTTAGGATCTGATGTGAGTGGGGGAAATCAGTATATTAGGACAAAAAAAGACTGAAAAGTGATGTAGACAAGGGGCTAGGGTTGTGGCTCAGTGGTAGTGTGTTTGCCTAGCATGCATGAGGCACTGATTTCAATCTATGTGAAATAAAATAAAGATACTGTGTCTACCTAAAACTAACTAAATATATATATATATATATATATATATATATATATATATATACACACACACACACACACACACACACACACACACATACATACGAAAAGTGCTGCAGACAGTCTTGGAATGTAGAATGTGGGACCAGAGGGTCAAGCTATTCTACTCATTAAACTGTGGCATGAAAGTCACCACCGGTCTGCCTGGAATGTACAGAGAGTTGAAGCTGGATACATATTTAAATATCTGCACCAACTCATACTGGGAATTTAGATCCATGTGTTGGGGCTCAGTCCGATACATAAATCTGGCAGACACCATCCACAAGACATAAACTGAGCCTAGCAAATCAGGAGAATTTCTGGCATGGACAGTATTTCTCCTGGGGGTAATACTAGTCAGATAGGCCAAAGAGAGCCTGTCCTCCTCTCTTCCCTTGACATAGCTGTGCTCAAGACCAGTGGCAGTTGCTTCAAAATCTCAATGAGCAGAAGTGATGGACCTTGGTGCTTGAGGGCAGACCTAAGGAGGTAAGAAAGAACAGTACCCTGAAAAAACAGAACTGGTAAAGTCTGGCTTCCCTGTCCCATGAATGTAGCTCTGGGGAGAAAAGTAGAGTAAAGTCCTAGGTGTGCGTTGATTTATTTATGCCCAGTAACTCCCCATGAAATGAAACACATGGGTCAAAGACAGGACCTCACTGCCTCCCCTGAGAACATATGGTAGAACCTAGCATGACCTATACCCTGGGCATGGAGCTGACAGCACCTTTCACAGCTCCCCATACCATCCCATGGAGAATGGAAACTGAGAGATGGAAAGATACTTTGGAAGAGACGGCAAGCACATACTTTCAGTAACAATCCTGTTTTTTTTTTTTTCCATTTTAGTTTTTGTATGTGTACTGATGGATACATGAAGGACATTCATACACTTGTACATATTTGTTTATGCTTACTTATTTGTACTATTCTGAAACATAGTTATTTTTCCTTACTCTGTTGTTAAGAGTTAAAGTTTTCAATTAGCTTATTTTGGATTGAGTTTGTGTTCTGTTTCAAACCTTTTATTTCTTTTTGTTTTTATTTCTTTTCTCTTACAAACAGTCAAATTCCATTATTCTCACTTTACTCTTTATTTCTTTTACTTGTTTTTCCTTCTTCCTCATAAACAATACATTGTATATCACTTTGCTTCTGCCCTACTCACATCTTGAAACTGCTAATCGTTTTCTATCACCATTGCTTTTTTCTTCATAATGAAATCTATTTTTAATTTCTCCCAGAACTCTTGGTTTATAAAACTCCACACACAACCACTAATAATAAAGCAACAATTAATACAATTGAAGCTATAGAAAACACCTACTCTTTTATTTTATGAAAGATATAACTCATGATTACTTACTGTTGTTACTGATGTAAATTGATACAGTTATGTTTACTGTGCCAATTAACTTTGTGTGAAAATAAAAATTAAGTATGCAATTTAGTTCTATATTTTTTATGCACAGCTGGTTGCAATTATTTGGCTCCCCCCCAATCTGTGAGCCACAAGATATCTACAGGATCACTAGAAATGCACAGAATAGAAGTTCTGTTGCTAGAGATCCATTTTGATACATGAATAGACACACAAACAATATGAACAAGCAAGGGAACAAAGCATCCCAAACAAACCA